TTTTCTAAATAGTTTTCTTTAACCCAGTCACCTCACCCTCCATGGAGGAGGCAGTCAGAGAAGTCCTGGATCACAGGTTCACTACCACAGCAAAGATCACCCAGGAAGCTTAAAAAAAAAAAAAAGCTCCAATGGGCCACAAGTAGACATAAGTCACCAAAGATGCTGAAACTTTGTGTTTTAAGGATAAAAATCTAGATCTTTTAGACTACCCTGTGTTGTCATGTAGGTTCTTTGTAGGTTAAACTTGAATTTTACAGGATTTATTTAGTGTCAGGAGTTATTTCAAACTGCGTCAGCCTGGACTGTATGCTTATCTTGTTTCGCTTCTTATCTGTCTGATCAAGTGTAACAGAAACACAAAAAGCGACATAACTCCTCTATAGTCAGTGTAGTTGATCTTCTGTAGGTGTTCTGAAGTAGGCCAAAGCGTGCACTAAAATGCCCAGTATTTCAGGCAGCTTGAATCGCTTCCTGTTGTTGTTCTATTTAACCCTGCGGTCATCCACTTCTCTGTTTTTGATTAGATTATGTAAGTCGCAAAACCTGCACTTTAGAATTATATCATGATTCTCCTTGTGTTCTGGTTTTAATGGTGTTACTGGATTCATAGGGACAATGAGGTAAATGGACGACTGAACGGAAGAAAAATTCCTTTGACTCTTTTTTTTTTTTATGTTGTGTTTTGCTAATATAGCTCTGGGATTCGATGTCTCAGAACTCTGAGTTTTCGGTTTCAAAATGGCTACTATGAACTAGTTAAAACAACTCCAAGTAGAACTATTGAGAGTTTAGCACGTGTGCAACAAGCCTTTATCATTGAAACTCTGATTCAACGAGTCATCATGACAACAGGCAACAGAAGGCGTGTATTTAACTTCCCTGGAACCAGAGATTTCAATGCAGAAATACTATAGAAAAGGGAGAATGTTCTTAAAGGACAGAGAAACAGTGATAAAGCTGCAAAGGAGAGGAGGACGGTGAAGAAGGTTGTTTCTCGAGTTAATGCGTAAGTTTATATGAGTGGCTATGGCAGGCCGTCTTACATTTATTAAAAGCACTCTCCTCTCTTTGTAGATCACTAAAATAAGATTCTTTCTGATTAAAATCACACTCCTAGACTGAAATGTAAGATATATTGTTTAAATTACATTTTTATAGCAGAAACTGAATTTTAGAAAGTAAAAACAAATTATACTAGTAAGAATTAAGTTACTAACTAATATATCTAGAAATGTTTACACATTTTAAGTGGCCGTTTTGAGATTCATCAGCTTGACTGAATATGTATTTATAACTGAAATACATTTCTTTATAGTCATAATAATACAATACTGTTCACGAGTAATAGGAATATGGAGATCTGAAATTAATTTCTAGACACCCAGAATGTTTATTCTAGATATTGAGCATGTCAGTTAGTTTTAAATGGTCATTTAAACAAAGAAATAACAGGGGTTTTTTTTCAAATATCAGGAATACATATTCATTAAAACTAAAACATATCAAAATGGCTTGCCATAGCCTGTTGTTACTGCAATAATATTACGGGTTTATTTTTCTGACAGCAGGTGAAGATGAATATGAATTAAAGCATTGCTCTAATTTATGGAACCTTTTCATCATCTTATGGGGTTCTTCAATTTGATTCTCTCTTCTTTTACACGGAAAATACTAAGTAGTTGTTTGCAGCCGCACTTCAGATGTTATCATCCCAATAAATGGTCGTTATTACTGGATATCAGTCCCATGGAATGGCTTCAGATTGTACCTGTACATTCGGAATGAATCCTACCCCTACTGTAAAGTAATTACTTCCCCCCTTGTGGAATTAATTAATCTTTTTATGTTTAATCTGAAAATAATTTCATTTGTTCTTCATCTGCATGTCACTCATATTAAACAAACCAAAGACATATAAATCTCATATACTGTTACTGAGTTGTAGAATCTTCTCCCTATAAATATTTAATTCTCTGTGAAAAAATGCTGATCATTCTTTAATAATGCCCTCGTCAAACAGACATGCAAGGTTTGATTTTAAAACCTAAAGTATCTAACTGACCTAGTGAATGATTTTTTCTTTTTTTTATGCACAAAACTACAACAAAAATCGACTAAATACAAATTAAATGGCGTGATTGGCTGCTGCTGACCAGGGAAACTCTGGGGAGAATGTTGCTACGGCGATTGAAACAGGCTGATTAAACCTGCTTCATCAAATGGAAAACCCTGAGTTTCCCATATTTCAGATTTTAAATAAACTTTGAGTTTTTAGTGAACCTGCTTCGTGAAACGGACCCCTGGTAAAACATCCTGAAGGAAACCGTTCGACACTCCGTTTGTGATCTGAAGCTTTTTGAATCTCAAACAAGGCAGTCGCCACTCTTCCACCAAACTGGGTCCAGTGCTTAACTGGTGCTAGACCTTACATTATTGGTTCTTAATCCTCACAGTTTCTTTGGTTTCCATGAATATAAAATTTAAACTTACCTTTGCTCGACATGGTTTTCTGAAGTTCACCCACGAGGAACTTCATGTGTACATGTGTGATACAATCGGCTTCCTTATCTGTTGTAACAGATAAAAACCATACATTTCATGGGTTTTCTTAACTTTTAGCAAAAGTTTTTTTTTTTTCGGTTATGGTTAAAATGACTTAATTAATTGAAATAATGGATTATTGGGTCTGAAGCCAGCAGCAGAGTTTAAACATGTGGCTACATTTTTATATCTCACCATTTGACTCGTTACCCAGACGTTGCCTCACCAGTAGAACCAGTAAAAGCACAACACACAGAGATACGGTCGGTAAACAGAGGATGATGGACCCAGGGACAGAGGTTATGGACTCCCCTGAAATAATAATTGGTTTAGTTCTAAAGCAAAGAGCTAACTTTCAGCAGAAGAAGAGTTTGAGCTTTTTGGTTTAAATTGTTGGTTTTCTCAACCAGGAAACCAAAAACTGAAGCTTAGAACTTTAAAGCAGACTGGTTTTGTACTTACAGAGCAGAGGCTGCAGCATGGTTCCTCTCAGGGTCTGGGATGTTTCTCACTGCTGTTCTAGAAGGCACTGAAAGCCTGCCTTCCTGCTCTGGGTGTCAACGTCTTCTCTCTCTCTTAGATGGTGCTGAGACGACCCATCACACATCCTCTCTATCTGTACACATGAAAAGGATTATCACAATCCACTTTTTTACCTTCTCATCAAAGTAAATGAACCAAGCTAACATTTAGAGCCTGGTAGCAGGTAAAATAGTGGCTGGCCTGTTCTGTAATGAGTTTGAATTCTGGTTTCTATCTGCTTTCAGATGGCTCTAGCTCTGCAGACTTTATTAGCTGTTGGAGGTACTGACCAACACAGAAGCCATTGAGTGACATTGTTCAAAGCGTTCATGCACAAACTAATAGAAGATTAAAAGAGCATTTATAGCTGCATTAAGATCATCTAAGGCCCAGAACCGGAATTAAATCCTGTCTGACTCATCTGAGGGCCTTCAAAGGAAAGTCTGCGTGAAATCTGCAAAGTCATCAACCATAAGATCTAGACCAGATAGGGCAGAAAGAAGATAATCTGCTCACCAAAGTTTCCATTCCTGTGTTTTGCATCATCAGTTTCCTCTGTAACATCAGTTTAGGAGAATTATGGTGGACAGATAAATTCTATTATCATAATTTATTATTATTCATTTTATTAATGTTGTTCCTTAACTCTACGAATTCCTATAAGTCAAACAAACTTTGTGGACATTCAGTTGTTTGGTCACCAGTTACCACTGAGCTCTTTAAATGTCTTCTTATGGTCCATAAATGGAAAATCATATATAAACAGGATGAAAGGAACTGCTTGGGATCGAAGGACCAGGCTGAACATGTAGACCCTCTGCTGTTTATGGGAGAAACTTGGAGAGATTCTGAGAAACTATTTGCAAGATAGAAAACTACCACCAGAGGGCAGCAGTGAGAGCATCATAGTCTGCTGGGTTGGCAGAGCTCTCTCTGTGAAAAAATGAGGTCACAGGTTTGATGCTCTTATTGCAAAAATGTTACATTATTGACTTTAATCTGTTTTAATCTACCTGCACCAAGATATCTCCTACTCTAACAATGTCCTGTTCTGTGACAAACATGACTTTTTCTTTATGCAACACATCCAGAAACAAACATATGGAAATAAACATATTTTATATCAAACCAGAGCAGGGGATGTGCTTATTTGTTTTAATGATGCTGATTCATATTTTTTATTTTTTTGCTTATAATTGTCACGGCCGTCGCCGTCATATTTGTGTTTCCCTTTTTTCTTTATTTTTCCTCTTTCTAACTTCTACTAATTAGGCTGCATGTTCCTGTGTAGGGACCCGCCTACTTCCTGGTTTCTGGGGATCTGACCTCAGTCCCACCCATTGGTTCCCTCGGTTCCACCTCAACCAATGGCTCGTCACCTCCTGCAGTCACCTCCTGCTCATAAGGAGAGCTCACCAGTTGATTGAGGCAGCTTGTCACAGCCAGTTGACTTTGGTGCCTCGTGTGAACCAGACTTCGTGTGCATTTAGCAGCTGCATCTGTGTTTAGTGGAGTGGCTCATTTGGGTTTATTGTTACCCATTTGGGTTTGTGTTTAGCAGCCTGTGCCAGTATCTATTGTTGTCTTTGGCTAATGTGTATTTACTAGCTTAGGGCTAGAAAGATGGTGGAATGAGGGCCAGAGTTCTCACTGATTGCCACACTGAGCTTTCCTGTTAGTTTCATTAGGTGTAGTGGGTGCTGTGCTCTCTGTGTTTTTCAGAAAGAATCTCCTCTGTTTAACGGTATAGTTAGACATGATCCTCCTTTTGAGAAACTCTTTTATTTAACTTTGTTATTTTCACAGCACCCTCATCCACTCTCCTTTTGTTTGCTTATCGCTTTCACCTCTTGTTACCAAATAAATTATTATTTTATCAGAACCGGTTTCTGCCTATATATTTATGCCCCCACTCCCCTAGACCAACAGAGAGTTGTAACAATAATAATCACATTATAAAAATTGTTTTTTATTTACATTACGTCTTTCATAATACTCAGAGTGCATTTAGAAATGAAAGCTAAACTAGAGTAAAACCTGACACAGAAGCATCAACACATTGCATGAATCAGTGGATTCACAAAGATTCTAAGAAGTCTAGAGTCTACCTGATCAAACTCACACTCCTTGACTCAACTGTAATATATATTTTCTAAATTACATTTTTATAGCAGAAACTGACATTTGGAAAGTCTTTCTTTATGGTGCTGAGGTGAATGAAGGGATCAGTGAGGTGGATAGAGGTTGGTGACGACCCAAAAAAGAAAAAGAAGAAGAGGATGAGGATGAGAAGATGATGCACATATATTTATACAGCTGTTGGATTTGGCTGCAAAATCAGAGGGGAGCATATTTCAAAATAAAAGTACCAATATTTAATTTAGTAAATTATTGTAAGGTTACTTTGAGTAGTTTGTTCTCTCTGGACTTTTAGTTTCAACACTGCAACTGCCATTAAAACGCCAAATCTTTGTCTTGTTTAAATCTTTCTAAACAAAACGTTAATGTTTGCCCATTTCCTTCAACTATGCCCAAAAATGTGTGAATCACCACGGCAACAACTGACTCAGCAGGATGTGTTACTTTGGACCAGAGATGAGCTGCCTTGCTTCAACCATTTCAAATAGCAAATAAATACCAACATTAGAGATAAATCAGCTTTATTCAGCATTTCATCCATTTCCACAAAGCTTCATCAACACTAACTCCACAGTCTGATCTTACCAGTGACAGTGAGCTGGATGCTGCTGCTGGCTGCTCCCTCTCTGGACGAACAACACCAGTAAACCCCACTGTCATGTGAACAGGAAGCTGATGAACCAGCTGGTTTCCCCCATCCATTCCCACTCTGAGTCCTGGTTTCTCTGGTTGTGTTCCTTCATACAGTCCATCCAGCAGAGCTGCTATTCTCCTCATAGCTCAGAGACACAGTCATATTGAAAGAACTGAGATCTGCTGGGACTCACAGTCAGAGCAGCTGGTTTCTTAAGGGGAAAACAGAAGCCAAATTGTAAAACAGGCGAAAAAGTTCTGTTTTCTTTTAAATTGGTTGGAAGTTTACCAACCTGCATCATGTGTACAACACAATAATGTGGTCAGAACTGAAGAGAAATCCAATAAAAATGTGTTTATTTTATTACTCACATGGAACTTCCCTCTATAACCACAGAAAGAAAAGGCTAAGATAACCTCTGATAGAGACGTCAGATTTTAAAACTGTTCTTTCTACAATTGAACTCTTTAGATTATAGATATCTTTTTAATAAAGTTCAAAAAGTTTAAACAATTGAATAAAGAAGACTTAATAATTATCTGTTCATTTTTCATGATGATCTGATCCGAAACCTGCCTACTTGTACTCGATCGGTTTCCTTCAGACAGCAGATCAATGCTGTCTAGCGTCTGTCATTTCTGTGCAGAGAGCCTCCTCCTTGAACGGATTCTGCTGCCTGCTTCCTGCCTCCTCACTGGGTTTGTTCTGCCATCTTTTTTCAACAGCATTTCTCACGACGATAGTTATAAAAGTTGCTTTTGTTGAAGCAGGCAGCATGGAGCGGTACTCACAGAGCAGATGAGATGAAGAAGAATGTTTCCATCCCTTCAGTCGGACTAGTCGACGTGTTTTTGTGGCGGAACAGCAACTCAAGTCTGTTCCTGTCACTGTGTCATTGTGGTTTTCTTCACCTCACTGTTGTCCTTCACCCACGACGCCTCCACCCTCTGAAAAAGAGCTTCTGTTTGACAGCCAGCATCAGATAGATTTTACTTGGTATTAAACAGATGATTTGAGTAGACCCCATCATGACGTCCTGCTTTGGTTATTAAAATAGTTTAGTATTCAGCTAAACTCTTTATGAAGAGCACTCTGTGTTGTTTCACACATCGGCTGACGCCTTCAGCATGACTCTTTTAAATGAAACTAAAATGGAACATGTTGCATGACTGCTGTAGAGAGCAGTTCATTGATGATACAGGTCAAACACAACGAGGGGGTGAGGTTATTTACAGGGCAGTAATGTGAAGCAGCAAGTATTAAGAATTTTGTTTCAGTTATTTAAAAAACAAAAAGCACCCTCTCTTCCCTCATCAGCTGCTCTCAAACTTCTAGCTAAAATGTTCTACTATCCCCTACTGTATCTCTCCATTATGGATCTCAGTTATCTCCAAACAGGTTGTTAAATAATCCTATGGATGGATGGATAGAGTACAGTATTAAACTATATAACTTTTCTTTAACCCCATAGAGGGTTTAAAATGAATTAACAATTTAAATGTTTTTAGCTACTGTAGCATCCAGCAGTGAGTCCTTTCAGTTATATTAAGACAGCTGAAGGTTTTTTTGTTATGTTTCTTTTAAGGGATCTGACCCACATGCAGGAATCCACTCAGAGAACCAGAGAAAAGGTTTAACAGGTTTATCCAGAGTTATTCAGAACGCTGGTGAACCGGAACTGGAAGTGAGAAGGGAAGTTCAGAGTTTAGTTCAGGTTCCGTAGGAAACTTGGGCGACTTGCAAAAACAAAGACTGAAACCGGACTCACGTTTCCAGAAAAGGGTGTGCTTCCCAAAGGGTGGACAGGTGTTACTTAGGCTTGATTGGTTTCCTGAGGAGCAATGGAGCTGACTGCCACTTAGATTTCCAGAAGAACTTCAATGGCAAGTGTGGAGATTTATCCCCTGCTCAGTGTGAAGCTCAAACGATCCTTCCAGGGCGAGAAGGCCAAAACATCCAGTTTTCAGGGTGACTTCCTGACTCAGAGAAACAAAAACTCAGTTAGACTCAGCTAAACTCAGCTTGGCTAGAGTACCCAAAACTGGCAAACACTCTGGCGTCGACGTAGTGGCAGTCAGCAGCTTAAGAGTCCTCAGATAATGAGTCAACCATCTGCAGGTGTGTGGAAGGCCCAATGAAAATTCGGCGCCACCTAGCGGTGGAGGGAAAAAAACACAAACAACACAACCCACACAAACTGGATTTCTAGCATTTTTTTTTGTTTTGTTTTTTTTAGACTTGACAATAACCACTGAAGAAGTGCTTTATAGTATTAGAGCCATTACATCCTTTATGTTTTCTCCGAGAACCCTTTTTTTTATAATTCCACCAAGAATTCAATGGTCTGTTGTGATCCAGATTGGACGGTCTCCTAATCTTTACCTCCTTCCATCAGTCTATATCAGGTTATGTTTAGAACTTCGGCTTGGCTGCTGCAAAGCATTAATATAACTTCCTGTCAGAGGAAATGTGTTGCTCAGATAAACGTTATCTAAAGCCTAAATCTGTCCGTGGAAGGAGGAGCCTGGTAAAGAGGCAGAGCTTGCTCCACATATGGGGAGGTTACAGGCCTCCATCCGCTCATCTGGGGTATAATGAGGAACACTGAGGAACATTTCTCACTTTATGCCATAAGAGTGAAAATAAAGAGTAACTCTGAAGGTCTCGTGTAGTGGTGGTGGCCACCCCCCCTCCACCCAGCTTGTAGAGGAAAACAACTACAGCTTCCTGGTTTCTCCTTTCATTCATGTTTTATTAGGTGTTTTTTTCTCAGATGATGTTACCCTATAGCATCAACACGTCAGCATTTGTTTTAAGCAAATATATTTTAAAACAGCTTCCTCACAACCAATAAACTGACTCCCTCCACTACACACACACACAAAAATGATCTTTTAATAAATCTACTGCCCCATGCTTACTGTATAACACTGTAATCGGCATCAATAAGATGTTATTTTTTTTATTTAGGAGCAATAAATTTATTGATAAAGCAATATTGAGGTTCTGGCCTTATGAGCATCGTCTCCCCAATGTGACCTCTTCAGAAGCAACAAAAAAAATAGATCCATCATGAGGTACACATCATGCAGTTGAGTCTATTTTTTAGTTTTTAGTCCTGTTTCGCTCCCAGAGATAGCAATATGCTCAGCTTTTAGTTTGACTAACTGGATGTGCTCCGTTTAATCCTTTAAAAATGAAAAGTATCTCAGAGCTCGTCTGATTAGCTATCTATTTCCTAGACAGAACCACCTATGGAGATGGTTTATAGACAACTTTTCTAACAAATTTACAGTGCTTTAGGAAACTATTCAGCCCCCTTGAACTTTGCAGTCTTCTGCCACATTTCAGGCCCCAAACATAAAGATACGAAATTTTAATTCTTTGTGAAGAATTGATAGCAAGTGAGACACAATAATGAAGTGGAACTAAAGTTATTGGATATTTTAAACTGTTTTTAACAAATAAAATGAAAAATTGGGCATGCAAAATAATTTGTAGCGTAACCTTTTGCTGCAATTACAGCTCCAAGCTGCTTGGGGTTTGTCTCTATCAGTTTTCACATCAACAGACTGAAAGCACCTGGATTGTTTGTAAACTGTTCCATTGTAGATTTTGCTTTATATTTCGGGTCACCATCTCGTTGGAAAATAAATCTCAGTCTCAAGACTTTTGCAGACTCCAACAGGTTTTCTTCCAGAAGGGTCCTGGGTTTGGCTCCATGCATCTTCCGCATCAATCTTAACCATCTTCCCTGCTGAAGAAAAGCAGGCCCAGACCATGATGCTGCCATGACCATGTTGATAGTGGGGATTACATGTTCAGGGTGATGAGCTGTGTTGCTTTTACACAATACATGACGTTTTATATTGTAGCTAAAAAGTTTAATTTTGGTTTCATCTGGCCAGAGAATCTTCTTCTACATGTTTGCTGTGTCTTCCAGGTGGCTTGTGGTAAACTTTAAAGGAAAGTTTTTTATGGTTATCTTTCAGAAATGGCTTTCTTCTATAACGTCCAGATGGGTGCAGCATGCGACTGATTGTTGTCCCATGGACAGAGTCTCCATCCTCAGCTGTAGATCCCTGCAATTTTTCCAGAGTGATCATGGGCCTCCTGGCTGCATCTCTGATCATTGGTTGAGCTGAAAGTTTACAGGGACGACCAGGTCTTCAAAGATTCCCAGTGTTCTGGTACTCCTTCCATTTCAATATAACAGCATGCTCAGTTCTCCTTGGGGTGTTTAAATCTTGGTAAATCTTTTTGTATCCTAATCTGGCTTTAAACTTCTCCACACCAGTATCTCAGACCTGCCTATTTTGTTCATGGTTCTTCATGATGCTCTCTGCGCTTTAAACAGACCTCTGAGACGATCACAGAGCAGGTTTATTTATACAGAGACTAGATTCCACACAGTTGGATTCTATTCATTATCATCAGTCATTTAGGTCAATATTGGATCATTCAGAGATCCTCACTGAACTTCTAGAGAGAGTTTGCTGCTCTGAGAGTAAAAGGGACAATGAATCCTCCACTGTTCAGTTTTTGTATTTAGTAAAAAAGTATAAAATATCCAATATGTTCATTTCCACTTCATGATTTGGTCCCATTTGATGATTCTTACAATTTTATATCTCGATGTTTGAAGCTTGAAAAGTGAAAAAAGTTAGAAAAGTTCAAGGGGGCTCAATACTTTCCCAAGACACTGCATAAACAAAGGTGTTGATGGCAGCAGCACAGCTGATATTTCTCTCCAGGATGGAGTCACAACCAAACAGGAACAGACCAGATGAAGCTACTATGATGAGAAAAAAGCAGAACAAATTTAATGTTAGAGGTCAAACTAGCAAACACTGCAGAATGGGAGAATAGAGACAGAATGAAGCAGCATGATCAACAGTTTGCCCTATTTACTCCAGCACCCTAAGCATAGCATCATAAATATGGAAACTAGCTGGCCAAACAATTTGCATAAGGAAGTTGTACTTACCCTCTGATCTTCCCAGTTTGTGTTAATAGAAGAAGCGTTCATCACCATAAGGGAGAGGAAATGAGGAAATCTAATATTCAAACAAGATTTTTGGTCAAAACTTCATAACAGAGACTCCTCTATCAGCTGATGGAGCAGTTTGTTGTTCCATACAGGTTTTATCATGCGATCCATCAGCTGACTGTGTCTGAACAAGCAGCAAAATAGAGCTTTACTAGTCTAGAAGCTCAATTACTGCTCTGATTGTCACAGATCACAGTCAGCTGGAAAATACTAACAGTAAAGGTGAATTTGAATTGAAAAAGCTGCCTGGATGGGAAGTGAAATGTCTTCAAACTTGGAAACAAAGTCCTGTGGATTGTTTTTTATTTATTTTTTATTTTTTTGGAATGACTATGACCTGGATGACTGAGAATCTTCACCAACATGCAGTTAATTTGAGATTTACGTTCAATATTTTTTTCTTTGTCAAGATTTTCTCATCTTTTTTCTGTTGAAATAGAGCAGTGAGTGAAGTTTTATTAACATTGGATAATGAATCTTCATCCCTTCACTAAGATTCAATCACAGATACTAATGCTGTATGTTTTATTTCTCTCAGCTTTTACCTAATTTAATGACTTCTTTAAGAAATTTTAAATGTCTCTCAACTTTCTAATGAATCATCTGAAGCTGTTTCAAGGTCTCTTTGATTAATTTACAAGATTCTATTACAAATGAATTTAACATTTAAACCTAATTGGATTTATGTTACAGATCAGACAGCTCAATGGTCAAACTGGATCCAGATTTGATGGGAATATTTCTGTTCCTCTTTGTTGTGTTGAATGATATTTTTATTGTTTCTGGGGTTTGTTTTAATACCAGCTTTAGGTAAGAAAGGTGTGAGATATTTTGGCCTTGTGTCATTTAGAGCAGATAGAGAA